GCCGAGCAGGGAGCCCGATGCGGGGCTCGATCCCAGGACCCTGGGATCATGACCTAAGCTGAAGGCAGACGCTTAACGACTGAGCCACCCAGGCGCCCCCCTCTCATGTCTCTTAAATCTAATCCCAACTATTCATATACATTATTTAGTTTATACTATGCATGGAGAAACCCTTGAGTTGTCTACTTACCAAGGCCGCTATTGGTATAGGGACACCAAATAACTCTTCATCCACTGATCCAAAATTGTGGCTTCAAATAAAATTGATTAAGAAGTGAGTCATAGCTCTAGAAATATTAATACTAAAATTCAGCAAACTGATTTTCACATAGACCAAAATGTTATATAATGAACATACAAGGATGTCAAACAAATAATAAAATGCTTTCCCCACTAAGGCAAAATGAATTCAGGGACAATTTTGCTGGTTTCTGTATCTGATGTTCATCATTACCTCGTATCCCTCACAGGAGGCAGGATAAACAGTGGTATCGAAAGCATGGAAGTAAGGAGCCGGTTCCAACACATCTAAGCATAAAAATGTGTCATCAGAAGCCAAGCTAAATTATACAAAAATCAGTGATTCAAAAGGGGGAAAAAAAAAACCAACTTTACCTTAAAAGGGTCAAATAGTCCAGTTGCACTGGCATTTGAAAAATCCGTGGCAAATACAGAACCTAAATTTACATTGTAAATAATGTATTATCAAGTAGTATCAATCAACAACTGTCCCTAGTTTATAATCTAAACCTTTGTCTGGCCTCAAATTCATTCCAAAATGTATATTTCCAGTGCAAAGTCTCCAAAGCAATTTCCCACTTAATCTTTTTGAACGTTTATAGTTTACAAAAGCACTTTCATATACATTGTCACATCATGATCCCCAGTTTATTTTGTTATTTCTTTTAAAGATTTATTTATCTGAAAGAGAGAGAGCACGGGAGTTGGGGCAGGAACAGAGGGAGAGAATCTCAAGCCGACTCTCCACGGAGCATAGAGACTGACCTCAGGGCTCAATCTCATGACCCTGAGATCATGACCTGAGCCAAAACCAAGAGTCAGAGCTTAACCAACTGTCACCTAGGCACTCTGATCCCCAGTTTAAAGATAAGGAAAGGGGTTCACAGATGCATTATGATTGCCTATAGTTACCCAGCTGCAAAGTGGCAAATTTGTTACCGAACTTGAGTCTTAACACTTTTGAAATTAAGACTGTTCCTCTGCCTTCTGTTTGAGTTCTGATCATAATTTAAAAATCACCCTCCTCTTACAAATCTAAAATTTATCTAGCTTTACTATAACATGTAGTTACTAGGGTACCAAGGAGCAGTATGTTTGGGACAAAGGAAGGAAAAAAAAGTAACTTCCACTTTTTTTAGGTGAATCTTTTCTATCAGTCAAATTTCAGTTACTTAAGATAGATCTACCAGATCATCTTTACCTTTTGTGAGCTTATGTAATAACCAGGTATCAATAGTCCCAAAGCAGCAATTATCTTCTTCAATTGCCTTTTGCACCTAGAAAACATAACATCACAAAACTGACTCAAAAAGGCTAAATTAGGAAATGCATAATTAAGTGCCAAGATTGTAAATACAATAAAATCCCATTTTTTGATAAGAATGAATATATATGTGTGTGTGTGTGTGTGTGTATATAAACTATTTTTAAAATATACTCCAAACAGTTCTAAGCAATTACTATAAGGTATAAAAGGCTTTAATTTTACAAGAAACATGTGTTACTTTTGTGATGAAAAAACAAAGTAAATATACATATTTTTAATTTAGACATATGGATATGTCTACATAAAGTCTAAAACAGGGGATGGGGCACCTGGGTGGCTCAGTGGTTAAGCAACTGCCTTCGGCTCAGGTCATGATCCCGGAGTCCTGGGATCAAGTCCCACATCGGGCTCCCTGCTCGGCAGGGAGTCTGTTCCTCCCCCTGACCCTCTTCCCTCTCATGCTTTCTCTATCAAATAAATAAATAAATCTTTAAAAAAATAAAAAAATAAATAAAACAGGGGATGGTATACTATGATCACAGTTCAAATCCAACCCACTGCTTATTTCTGTACAGCAAGTTAAGAATGGTGTTTAAATTTTGTAATTGATTTTTAAAAAAGAATACCTTGTGACATATGAAAAGTAAATGAAATTCATATTTCAGGGTCCATAGATAAAATGTTACTGGAGCATAGCCATGCTCACCTATTTATGTGTTATTTATGGCTGTTTTCACATTATAGTGGCAGAGTAGTTTTCCAAGTCTAAATTACGACTATCTGGCATGTTACAGAAAAAAACGTGCTAACCCTTAGCATAAAGCATGCCAAAGCAAACAAACATATCACAACCTCTTTAAATAGCTAATAGAGACAATGAAATGATTGTTGAGATATCATTATTATTATTTTTTAATTTAATTTTATTTTTTTTTAAGATTTTTATTTATTTGACAGAGAGAGACACAGTGAGAGAGGGAACACAAGCAGGGGGAGTGAGAGAGGGAGCCCGATGAGGGGCTCAATCCCAGGACCCTAGGATCATGACCTGAGCTGAAGGCAGACTCTTAATGACTGAGCCACCCAGGCGTCTCCATTATTATTTTTTAAAATAGGCTCTACACCCAACGTTGGGGGCAAAGTCACGACCCGAGCTTAAGTGTTGCATGCTTACCAACTGAGTAATATCCCAAGGCGCCCTGATATATTACTAACATAGTGGAAACAACGCCCTACATCATTTTTCACCACCTCTCCAACTCTTATTTGTCCTTCAAGACTAGCAGTTCCTGGATTTGCCCAAGCCAACACTCTATGGGAATCTTCCAGATAGCCCTTATCTCACGTCATTACCTCCCTGTTAGACCCTAAGCTCCTTAAGAGCAGAAACTAAATTATAAGCCCAACACCAAGGAGGGTTCCTGCCATATAGCAGATGCTTAAAACATATCTCCTAAAGACAAAAAGAACAGCAAATGAATATATTTAAGGATGAATTCTATTTCAACAGTAGAAAAGATCAATAAAATGAAAACACATGACATAAGTTCCAAAAAAGAAGTCACTATAGATTATTTATAACAAATATTTTGAAGATTCCATTCCAGCTTTATATCACTTACATAGGGAGTGCTTAAAGTAATATTACTTTATTTCAAACTCTTTTTAAATTTAGAAATTGTGATTCTAAAATTTGTTCCAGATTAGAGAAAGGTTAATCTGTATTTCAGTAAGCAGCAACAATGCCTGACAAGTAGTAAGTTCATCTGTTCATTCAAAAAACGTTTGACAGCCAGGTCCTCTGATAGGGAGTAGGTCCATATGAGGCTACAAAGACACAGAGTCAGTATTAGGGCTCAGATTAGGATCAAGGTCAATCCTCCTTGCTTTGGGTTAAGACTCCAAATGGCTCTACCCTATGAGTAAGGGTAAGCTAGAAAGACAGGTTCTCATAGGAAATGCAGCTCAGTTTTGAATCACCTCAATCATTAAACTGGATTGCTGTAATCCTGGTGCCTAGAAGAATGGAAGAAACAAACATAATTCCTGTCCAGAGCAAGATAGTGTTAATGTTAAGGCTCTCAAAATTTCTACACATAATTTTGCAAATACAATGTCTAGCTGATATACATACACATGCATACAAGTAAGTAACCAAGCTCATCAAACGCATCAAGTTGTATATACTAAATATTTTCAGCTTTTTGTATGTTAATCATACATCAAGTAGTTTAAATTAAAAAGAAATTAAATAATCAGGCATCTAAGGAAACAAGAGAACATGAAAAAGAAAAGAGAGAGAAAAAGACAGAGTCCATGAGGCTACAGATATTAGAATTAATAGTCATGCACTATATCCTAGAAGTCCTTGTCAATGTTTAAGAAGAAAAGGAAAGAAAAGTCATATTTCTATACCATATTGTTATGTTAGGGAATTACAAATTAAATCAATGAGATACTACTTCATACCTATTAGAATGGCTAAAATCCAAAACCCTGATATCAAATATTAGCAAGGATGTGGAGCAACAGGAACTCTCATTCATTGTTGGTAGAAATGTAAAATGGTCTACCCACTTTGGAAGACAGTTTGGCATTTTCTAACAAAGCTAATCATAGTCTTATCATCTGATCCAGCAACTGCACACCTAGGTATTTACCCAAAATAGCTGAAATTTATGTTTATACAAAAATCTGTATACAGGGATGCCTGGGTGGCTCAGTCGGTTAAGTGGCTGCCTTCAGCTCAGGTCATGATCCTAAGGTCCTGGGATGGAGCCCCACATCGGGCTCCCTGCTCAGTGGGGAGCCTGCTTCTCCCTCTGCCTGCTGCCTGCTTCTCCCTCTGCTTGTGCTCACTCTCTCTCTCTGATTAAACACACATACACACACACACACACACAAACCTGTACACAAATGTTTATAGCAACTTTATTTGTAAGTGCCAAAAATTAGAAGCAACAATATGTCCTCCAACAAGTGATCAGATAAACGAAACACATCTAGACAAAGAAATACTAATCAGTGATAAAAAGAAATGCATTACTAAGCAATAAAAAGACATGGAAAAACCATTGTTTTGTTGATTTTTTCAACTGTTTTTTCTATTCTGTATTTCATTAATTTTCACACTAATCTTTACATTTCTTCCCTTCTGCTACTGTGGGTTCAGTTTGCTATCTTTTGCCAGTGTCTTAAGTTAGAATATTAGATGCTTTGTTAATATAATTTCTATATGTAATATAGTCTGGCTATAAATTTCTTTTTTTTTAATATTTTTAAAAAAGATTTTA